TAGTCTTAAAGTAGATATTAATTAGTAACTTCATAAATAAGATTTCATAAATTTTCAGGAAAAGAATGCAATCGATATGAAAAGCTCTGACTTAAAACTTTTAGAAATACCTTATATTATATTATAGGTGATACTAGCTTAAATGGTTTGAAAAAATTATAGGGTTTGCAATCTTCAGAACATGATTATTGCAGAGTTGAAAATCAAGAATTTCTGGCTCCTATAGAGTCAGTTTTATGTATTAATTATGGTTCCATGCTTGGCTCAAGTGCAATTATAACTAGGAAGATATTCAAAGAGTTGATAAAATATATATATTTGGAAAATATTCCAAAAGAGTGGCTACATTGTGTAAAACATTGTAAAGATTAAGTTATTAACAAACAAAAAGCCTGACAGGTAAAGTGCTACTCACATTCATTAAAATATTATTTAGCAACTTGAATTGGCTTTCAATAATAATGAACAAATGCATGTTATTTCCATATGTTCCTTCCTTTTTTGAAGCAACTGAATCAGAAATTCTCAAGCCTAACAGTGGTTGCATAAAATACTTAAATGTTCCTCACAAATTCAAGAGGGCAGTCTACGGCCACGCCACCCTGAACAAGCCCGATCCTGTCTGATCTCAGAAGCTAAGCAGGGTCGGGCCTGGTTAGTACTTGGACGGGAGACCACCTAGGAAGACCAGGTGCTGTAGGCGTAAAAAAAACCAAACAAATAAATAAATAAATAAAATTTTAAAAAATGCAAGTGGGCAGTAAACAGAGGCAGGATGAGATTCCCGCAGAGCTGAACACAAAATGTGGAGTCTTCCCCTGGCCCTCACAGGGGGACATGATCCACGAGAGGGCAGGAGCCTCCAGCCTTCCATCTCTTTAAGCAAACAAGAACTTTGTGGATTAGTTGACTGCTAAATTAGGCTGAAAACGGGGCTACTATATAATGTCTAAAAGGAAGAGTGTGTCAGACATGTGAAATAAAAAGTTGAGTTTTGCCCAGGATATACAATAAAACTTTACCAGATATCGATATGTCCATCAAACCAAATCGATGAAAGGAAATTAAATCAAAGAACTTGAAAACATATTAGTAGAGGAAAAAACTCAAGTCACATGCTGATAAACGCACTTAGATGCTGTAAACTTAGCCAAGATAAAGATCAGATTACGCTTTCATTTTAAGGAGTAATTTTTTTTTTAATTTCAAAGGAAATAAATTATTTTTTATTTAAGTAGAGTTGACATAAGAGATTATATTTCAGGTGTACAACATAGTGGTTTGATGTTTACATACCATGAGGTGATCACCACAGTAAGTCTAGTAACCTGTCACCATACAAAGTTATTATGATATTATTGACTGTTTTCCCTGTGCTGTACATTATATCTGTGACTTATTTATTTTATAACTGAAAGTCTATACCTCTTATCCCCCTAGAAAGAGTAATTTTTTAAATCATCTTATCATCTAAAATAAAAGTGCCAAGATATTTCTTACCTCTCGCAATAACTGAACTGTAATGCTGATGGGACCACTATAGCTGACCAACTCTGCCAAACTAATATATTGTATAACTGTAGCAGTCATATGAGAAATCAAAGTAACCTAAGGTATTGGATGACACACTCCTTCTCTAAGAATTCATTTATTTTGATTGTGAAACTCTGCCTATAAACTCATGGCCTTGTACATTTCACCCCCAAGGTTCTTTAAAGAAAAACCTGGACGTCCACTAGATACTAGACCTATTGAGGTGATCACTTCGTAACTTATATAAATGTCCGATCACTATGTTGTACCCCTGAAACTAATATTTTATCAAACTGTAATTGAAAATTTTTTTGTAAGTCTGTTTTTTTTTTAAAAGAATACAAGGAAAGAAAGAAAAACCTAGACATCCAGATCTCTCGCTGGATTTAAGCAGTGAAAACAAGAGAAATCATAATCAATCACAGCACATACTGACGCATCAGCAGTCGGAACGTAAGTCAAGCATGCACACGTAGAAATGCAGGACACACACTGAATTCCACAGAGTAGAAACAAAACCAAAATATCAGAAACAAATCCCAGAGCAGTAAAGAGGGTTAGATGCATAAAATAATCTAAGTATGTTGGAAGCTATTTTCCAAAAGCAAGATACTGGCTTTCGTTTTTGGTAACCTTGGGTAGTTTCTAGCCGAAAGTACCAGGGAAAACTCAGCTGGGAATCCAGGACAGGCTTTAAAATGACTGCCAAATGAAATGACTCCTTAAAACACTACTCTACAGTAATTACGTCCAACAGGAGAAAACAATCACTTGCAACGCAAATGCAATATTTCTAAATTAGTAAATAAATGATAAACACAAACCACTCTGAGTATTTACTTTAACAGATAAAAGTTTTAAGTATTTCTTTAGAGTCATTTCTAAGTTTTGGTTATAGGAACCAAAAAAAGTGTAAATATCAAAAGTCATTTATAAGGAATCAGTCTTTAAAATGGCTTATAATAGTGAAATTGGGAATTTTCTATTTTGTTTCTTGGTGCATTCTATTTCAATTTAATAATCCAGTACTGCAAAAGCTTCTTGTAAATGCCTTCGAAAGCCCTATGTAATGTTAAAGCACAGTTCTTAGGTGTTGAAATTTCCAGGACTCCTGGTGCATAAAGCTTATCTTTAGCATTCTATTTTCCCATAACCGCTAAATGACTTCGCTCGTGCTGAGAACTCATCACACCCTTATTTGGACAACCAGAATGAAAAACAGGGCCTGGTGCTTAAAAGAAAGAAAACACAGTTCAAAGTCATATGTCCTCTCGTTCTCTTAGTTCAAAGATGAAATCAGGAACCAATTAGCAGTGTTACATATAACGTACTACTTTGTCATTTAGTTGATGACAACTAAACGATCACTTTCATTCCTTAAAGTATAAGCTTTTTAATCTCCTGTTCCTTTTTTCCCCAAGCTATTTCTTATTTCTTTTCTCTTTAATCTTGCCAAAACAAGACTTGAAATCTAAGTGGAAAGAAAGGGAGAACTGCTTCGGCATGATTATGGTGAAACCAAAATGAAACATTTTCACTGTTAGTTAGGCTGGCTCTGACGTTTCCCCGTGAAGGAGTCCCGAGACTGGAATATTCTGCTTAAAGTACACCAGAGAAAAAGCGGCCTCCTGCCAACAGGCTTCTCCCAGAGTGTTCACACACTAGCAGGTTTTGAATGGCCCAAGGTAGGTCACAACATACAGGAAAAAGCCCTAAAGACTTCAGTCTCCATTTCAGCTCCAAGGCCACTGAAAAAAATTGCCCTTTTGTTCTCTGTAGAGTGAGACTGGATAAACCCGAAGGCCTGGGGACCCAACAGGAACCCACACGTGGTCTTTCTCGGATGCATAAACCTCCTCCACATGGTTTTCAATGTCCTGGGCACTCGTCTGGGGAGCGATTCCACAGCTTTCGGCTAGCTTGCAAGGGGGTCTCACCAGTCTGACAGCCTAAGAGTCACTGCCTCGACATCTCCCGCAACACCTCCCGCAACACCAAGAAGCCATGAGACGGAAGGCCAAGCACGTGGCCTTGACACATGACGGTCCCAAGACCTGGGGCAAGTTGCTTCACTTCTTTGCCAAGTGAGCATCCCTTTCCTGTCTATGAAAATGTGTATAAAAATACCTACTTCACAGAGAGCTGATGAAAAGTAAATAATCGGGACGCCGACCAAAACTTCCGAACTCACAGAAGTTATTTCCATTATGCAAGGAGACAAAGATCATTTAAGAAGCTTTTTATGGACCCACTTGACAACTAAGATCCAACTCTGGCCCCTCGCACCCGCACAAAAACAGCACGACAGGCCACATTCAACACACAGAGCCAGCTTGAGCCTCACGACAGCAGAACACTGTCGAGGTGCGGGCCCGCCAAAGAGATAGAAAATCAAAATATTATCACATGGTAACATCAAACTTCAGAAACAAAGGTATTTAAAATTACCAAGTGACCCTTTTGGGGTCTACGCACTTACCAGACCTCAAGAAAGCTGGTGGAGAAGAGACGGCTGCATCGGGTGAGCTGGCCATTTCAAACTGTTGACTCTAATCATAAGCGCCACAGGCTAAACTACAGCAATTTCCACAACTGTTTAGTGAAGGTTAGAAGCATCAGCATTAGATTAATTGAAAGCGGTGTGAGCAGTTATAACACGAGGCAGTGTGCAACAAAGACAATAATTGAGGTTATGATTTTATTTTCTCTTTTATGACTTGAAAATTTGATTTTCTTTGCTTTGGTAAATTACATTTGCTTATACGGATTAGACAGGAGATACATAATAACCACTTATTAAACATTACATAAGAGTAGCATCCTCTGTTGAGAAATGAAGTGATTATGCTACTATGTAACAATGCTCAGAACTCTGCAGCCCTGTCTCTATCCTAGTCAGGTTAGTGCCAGTTTCAAACAAAGCTCAGCTTACACATTCTAAAAGTAACAAGAATCAGGTTGATTGTTTTTAATGACATAGGAAGTCAATGATTCATTCAAGAAACTTTATAGTCTGTACTTTGGAGTTACCAGAAGAATGTGAAACCTCATCTAATTTGCAGTAATGGCTTCAAACGGTATCTCTTACTGCTACGATGTGTAGGTATACCCGACATTTATACTGTGCACTAAACTATCCTGCACAGGTAACTGAATTTAAGTGACTGATTTCAACAATAATTAAGTAAAATTAAACAATTTTTTTCTCAGTTAAGAAAGGGATGGCAGATTTTCAAAGTTTACTGTTATGACACGCATTTCAGAGCAAATAAAGACTGGAGAAGAAAATAAACCTTATCTATATACTTATTAAAGGAAAAGAGAAATGCTTTTAAAATATGTTTACAGCTCTCTGTGAAAAGCTGTGGTTACTCTGTAACCGGATATTATAGATTCCTTATAGCCCAGATAGATATATTGTTAGATGTCAACTCAGTACTTCACTACAACACAAAAATTTTAAGAGAAAGTGTGAAACGAAACTGTATGTGACTATTCCAAGTAACCACATTGACACTAAAATGTACTAAGGACTACTTTTTGAAAACTTCTCATACTTTTTTGGTGGTTTTGATATCACCTTAAGTAAATAAGTGCGGAACTTTTTTTAAGGTTTAAAAATACAATGAAATCAGCAACAAAGATTGGGGAAACTTCTGTGTGATTTATAAAATTATATGTTTTCTTCGAATTAAAAGGGGGGTGGGCAGAGTGCACACAACCAACTAAGAACTTCAAAAATGGGAAAAGCCCAAAATGTAATGGTAACGTTCTGGCTGAGAAAAAACTTTCTTAACATCAGTACAAATGCAGAATTAGTTTTCCTAGAGCCATGCCTTCGGCTGTTCTTAAACTAGCAACCTTGACATCAGCACCTCCCAGCTCTGACAAAGAAGAAACATCGGTCCATTGAAAGGGAAGATTCTTAGTTGAACGTTTGTCATTCCACCATCTTTCCTGTTTACCGGCACCCGCTTAGATAGAGATTGTATCCAGCCAGCCAGGGGGCAGGGAAGTTTCAATCCTGGCTCTCAGAGGAGCTATCAGCCACAAGTGGTAACTTCAAAGTCGTGACTTTGCAATTTGAACAAGTCAGTTCAGGACACTCGAACTTGTTACAACGGCCTGTGCGGCAGGGTCGTGTGACCTCAGTGGCCTCGGGTTTGTGAGCCACAACTGGAAACTAACTAGGCGCCTTGGGGGCACTTGTCCAGGCAAGGCATCTACTTCCTTCTGAGCCCTAACTATACTCGGCGTGACCCGCTTCGTGGCCTGAGCCCCTGACCGCCCGCCCCCCCGCTCCCCAATTTCCACCACACAGATAACCAACTGGGACTTGGAACTTGTGATGAATGTAAAAGGCAACGAGCGGCCGCGGGGGTCCGGGACCAGCTCGCACCCCGCGGCTGCTGACTCTGGGGGAAGAACGCACTTAAGCAGGACACTCGTTCCGAGGAGCGTGGCCGCCGTCTGACTTCTGAGGAGGAAGCCCCCGGGCGAAGTCGGCGCCAACACCTACTTTCTGAGGGGAACACACACAAAAGAGAGTTGGGGGACATCCACGGGGTGACCTAATTTCTAGGGAGGAAGGATGGGGACTTCAGGCAGAAGGCCGGTCCGCCGACTGCTTTCCGAGGGCACACACGCGGGCACAGGTTCGCTCCGGGACCCCCGCCTGCCCCCCGCCCCAGGCGCTCGAGCGGGAAGCCCCGGCCGCGGTGCTGGGGAGGGGGATCCCCCCAGCTCTAGTCAGTGGCTTGTCTTTTCATTTTCTTAATGTATTTTAAAGAGCCAAGTTAGAAGACATACTACCTAATTTCAAGACTTACTGTAAAACTAAATAAATCTAGACAATATGAAATGGGTGCAAGATGAACAAGTAGATAAATGAAATAGAATAGTCAATTGACTATTTTTCAACAAAATTTAAGGTAATTAATTGAGAAAAGATATTATTTTCAACAAAAGTTGCTAGAACAAATGGCCAACTTTATGAAACAAACAAAACAAAACACTTAATTCTTCCCTTGCACCATATACAGAAATCAATTTGAAATGAATCATACACCTAAAGATAAAATCTAAAACTTCAAAATTTTAAAAATAAAACATAAGAGAAAATTCTTGTGACCTTGGGTTGGGCAAGGATTCCTTAAATAGAACACGAAAGTACTTGCTGGGCGGCGGGCCGGTCCCGGCTCGGGCGCTGCACAACGTCACGGCCGAACTCTTCGGGGCCGAGGCCTGGGGCACCCTGGCGGCCTTCGGTGACCTCAACTCCGACAAGCAGACGGACCTCTTCGTGCTGCGGGAAAGTCAGTGCTCGCCCGGCCCTCCCTCCATCCGCTGTCCCTGTGCGCCCCGCCCCGGGGTCCCAGCCCCTCGCCCGGCTGGCCGTCCCCTTGCATTGCCCGGCCCTGCTCCCCCAGCCCTGACTCTCTCCCTCCATCTCCAGCATCCCGACTGCTTGCCCGTCTCCGTCTTTTCCAGCCCCGGGTCCTGGCCCGCCCACCCCGCAGTTTGACCGACCCCCAGAAGCCCTGGGAACACCCCAGGTGTTTTGTTTTTCCCCAGAGGCGCCCCGCGGGCGTCACCCCCGCCCCCGCCCGGTGGAGTCGCCGGCCCTGCAAAGCCCTTCCTGATTCCCAGGAGCCTTTGTAGCCCGCCTCTCCCTGCGTTCCGTCCCCAGGCCGCTTCATTCCTCTCTGCTTTCCTTCGTCCGGTCTTCCTTCCGTCGATGAACTGAAACAGAAGCACCTTGACAGTTTCTTCTCATAGGGGACCTCTCCCTGCCTCCCACTTACCTGATTCGTTCTCCTCTCCCTTTGTCAGGGTCCCAGCTTTCTCCGAAGCCGCTGTGCCCTCCCAGCGCCCCAAACGCTCCACAACTCACAAGCATTTTGCATGGACCACTGCTAAGTCCAGTGTGTCCCCGGGAGAGGCTCCTCCAGCCGCAGACTCTTCGCCCTCCCCAGCTGCTTAGTGCTTCGTGCGCCCCTGACCCTTCCTGGCTTTGGCCAGTGCCCTAGTCTTCCAGATCTCCTCTTTCTTTGCCAAGTTGAGGTTTGGGGGAGTCCCTTGCTTTCACTATCACTAAACAAACTTTTTTGGTAAACCTCGGTGCTGACAATGGGCACTCAAGGGTCTCAGCATTCTTGAGTACTCTCAGAACCAGGTACTGTTTAAGGTCAAGGCCACCAAGGAAGAAGTGAAGTGCTTATGCAGAACTTGACTGACGGGATTGTGGCCCACATTTCTTGGGGCTCTTTGCCAGGACCCCAGAGCCGGGGGTAGACCCTAGATATTTTTCCTCTATGTTTGACTCCGTATGTTACAAAGAGAGTGCATACTGCCAAACCTCTACATACTCCATCCAAACTGGATACAGAGACTTCTTTTAACTTTAAAAGTGGCTTAATGTTTGGTTAAACAGTTTCAAAAGTCTGTTCCAGTGAGTACTCATGGAGTTCCGAGAATGCCTCTTCCTGTGGGAGGAGGGGCTTGGAAGCTTTAGCTTTTTCTGCTTAAATACTTAGGCATGTCCTTGTCACTAGTCAGACACCTACAGGAGCCCCTGTGTCCTTGGGGCGATGCATCTGGTGAACTAAACAGCCTCACTAAAGGGCTGCGTCGTTAGGTTTGAGGAAGGCCAGACTTGACGTATAGTACAGTTGTTAGAAGAACGTTCTTTATACAGTTCGTTTAAGTCAAGTGATCTGACTCCTGATGGAAGCCACTGACTTGAGTTCGTCTTGACCAACTACAATTTCCATGTTCATCCTAACTGTATCTCTGCTGCTTTGAACATTGAACTTGTGATGTATGGTTAGGAATCCCCATTCCATCCGACAGTACGACTGGCCTTGAGAGGGCAGATGAACTGGACTGAAAGAAAGTGTTCTTGTTGACAACAGTGCCCAGAAACTTCTTGTAACCACTGATTGGATGTCTTGCCAGGAAACGTTACTCTAATATCATATATTCGCTTCTTTTAGGAAATGATTTAATCGTCTTTTTGGCGGACCAGAACGCACCCTATTTTAAACCCAAAGTAAAGGTGTCCTTGAAGTAAGTATAAATGTATTTATTTCTTGTAGAGCAGTAATTAGTTTAATGATGGGTATGCAAGAGCTAGTTGGATTGTCTTTGAAGTCAGTTTTACTCAGCTGTGTTATGAGGTCTGAGTAGCTGATAATTTGCTTGGAAAAATAGTGAATGTACCAAAATTTAAAAATGATTTACTTTAAAAATAAATAAATATGTTTTGGTGGATTCAGGTTTGCTGTATAAACATTCTTCACTTCCACAGTCTAATATGCTTTTTTGAATGCATTCAGAATTGTCTGTCCCTCGTCCCGAGTGTGCCCTTGGGAGCAGCTCATTCACAGGCTTATCAGGTCAACTGCGTTTTGTGGGAGGTAGAGGGAGGGGAGTCCTTTGCACTGGGGTCAAGGTCAGTCAGTGACCTCTTATGTTTTCTTTGTTTATTAACTGTTAGGTGGTGAGTGTTTAAGGTTGACTTTGAAGGAATTCAAATCAAGATGAATTTCGTAAATGTGCAGATAATTATATTTTTATATGACTGGCATTTTGTAAAACACAGGGACACCCATCAGTTGTTTTGAAACTACAAGAAGCAAGGATTGATCACTCTCTGGTTCAAGGAGGAAGAGATGAATCAGTGCAGGCTAAAGTGGCAGCTTCTAGAAAGTCATGGAACTTGAGCTTGACCTTAAGAGAAGCAAAATTTAGGTGAGGGCTTTCAAGTTGGGGACACAGTGTAAAGCGATGGCAATAAAAACAGTCCGTCCTGAAGAGGAGGTAGAAAGATTTGCCTGATGGAAGTCAAGGGTGCGCGTGGGAGAGTTAGGGACGAGGAAGATGCGACCGGGGCAGATGAAAGACCTTCACGAGTATCAGGATGACTTTGACCTCGACCCCAAGAGAAGTGGGAGATCGTTACAGGTTCTCGTTTAAAGGAGAGGTGATGAAAACAGTATCTTAAGTGGATTTACTTGTTAACCATGTGCAGAATGAGTTGGTGTGTAGAAAGATCAAAGATTACTTAGGAAACTTAAATTTTTTTTAAGTTCCCACATGGGCAGGGTGTTCAGACTCTACAATATTTCATTTCAACTCAGATATATGTTTAAAAAGTGGCTTTGAGTTAGAACATCGAGCAAAAAGTTAGAAATGGAGAAACAGGAGCTTATCCCTCCTGAGAGATGTTCTTGAGTCAGCATGCTTGCGGGGTGGGGGCAGGGAGCAGTAGTTGTCAGTATCACGTACAAGAAGTGAACCGCCTTCAGTGATTTTTCTTGGAAGATTGAAAGTTAAGGAAATTTATGGGAAATAAAGGACTTGAGTTTCTCTAAGTTAAACACACAATCCCAATATTTTCTCATTAATGCAATGTTGGTTTGTATGCAGCAGGTTCATTCAGCATCTTCACGGTAACGTTGATGAAATGCCGTAGGCACTGAACTCTAGTTCCTATCGATCAGCCTCTGGCAAAACTGGTTTTGTTTCATGTTGTTTGGCTTAAAGTCAGAGAATCTGTCGAGGGTGTTAAGTGAGGACTTACTTTTAACATTTGGAAACTTGTTTTTATTTATTTAGAATATTTTTCAAAGTAAAAGGAACTACCCTTCACCTCCTCCCACCCCATTCCCCCATTCCTCTGTCAGATGCAATCACTTTTAAAACTTTTAACTGTTTCTTCTTGTGTTTAGTTCCATATTTTAAAATATGTTTTTTACTGTAATTGAGTTATCTTCATCTCTTGGATTTTTTCTTAGGGTAGGTAAGGATTTACCATCTTTAAGTAATCTCCATCATTTCCATGTTGTTCCATCATATTTTTAGTTAAACAGGCATTCTCGTCACGTTTTGACCATGCGGATGCTGTGTACGTCAGTCCAGGTGGTCTGCAGTATTTCTGGTCTGTAGGGTTTTCCCTCCAGGACTAAATGATTGCTTTGTAAAAAGGAGATTGCATAGTTTTCTGTGTATCCATGTCCTTAATTCCTGTGCAGGTGTTTCCTCGCACCTGCCGTATACCTGTTGTGCATTTTTGTTTTCCCCGTTGAGTCCCCTGCCCCCCACCCGCCCTGAGTCATTCCCTGGGCCTCCCGCAGTTTCTGTTCGGGGACCTGCCCTTTGCTATTCTTTGCTGGGTCCCTGTCTCTTAGCGCCTTCGTTTGCTTCACTGGAGTGCATCATCCTTCAGGAAATTCCTGAGAAAGGCGTGTGTCGTGCCCTGCCAGGTCCAACGACTTTTCTGCTCACTCTCAGTTCTTGGGTTAGCCCGTCGTCTGCTAGCTTCATCGTTGCTGTTTTAACACCCAGTGTTATTCTTGCTCCTCATCCTTCAAATGTGACTTGTTTTATTTTTAATTTCGGAAGCTATCAAGGTCCCTTCTTCATTCCTTTTCCTGTGAAGTTCAGGATGACGTGCCTCGGTGTAGACGGTTGTCCACTTCCCACGCTGGCATTAGTCGGGCCCTTCAAGCTGGACACTTCTGTCGCTGGGGGCTTTTTGAAATGTTCTTACGTTATTTCTTTGATAATTTTTTTGTTTCCTCTTTCAGGAATTCTGGTCAGTTGTTTATTGGACTCCCTGGGTCCATCTTGCATTCCTTTACTGTGTCTGCGTCTTTGTCATTTTGCTTTATTTTCCCTTCCGGGGGGGTTTCTCAGTTTTATCTTAATCCTTCTATTGAATTTCTTATGTTAGCTGTCATATTTTTTTAACTCCAAGTTTTGGGGGTTTTTTTCTTTCTCGTTCTCTAGTCTTAGCGTGCTGTTATTTTTGTTTGTGCTGATGGACATGCTTCTCTTATGTCTTCCAGTATAATTTTGAAGTTCTCTTTCCCCTCTGTTTTCTGTTTCTTCCGATTCCTTATCGCTGCTTGTTTAGGTTCTTTTTACATTCATGGTTTCTTCAGAAGGCGAGGTGTCTGTTTCTACCTGAGAGTAAGGCACCGAAGAGCTCATTTGGAAACTCTTCGCATGAGCTCTTGCCTTGAGCTCCATTCCTGGCTGGCTGGCATCCAGGGACTAGGGTAGAGCTCGGGGCAAGGTGTCAAACTCGTCCTCTTATAGACTGTCCGCTAACTCCCTGTCTTTAACTTAAGGCCCAAACCTTACCTAAATTCTGCTGTAACTTAAATCTCCACTGCCTGAAACTTCCCAGAAATAGACTGCTCGGTTTTCGCCTTGCTCAGCGAGAAGGTAAACGGACTGTCACTCACAGTACAGACTTGCAGTAAACCCGTCTGCAGCCTTGTGCCTCACTCTTGTCTTCCACTATTTCTGATGACTCCAAATTCTGAGCCTCTCAGGGTTTCTTCAGGGCAAAAAGCTTTACTTTTGGAGCCTTTTTCTCCAGGCACTTAAGAGTTTCCTGGCTGGCTAAATCAATTAGCATCCCTCCATATGCTATGTCCATTCGTGATCTCTGTGTCTAAATTTCCATCTAATTCGTTGTGATGTATTCCTATCAATTTCAGGGTACTTTTTCCTACTAATGAACAAGTATTACTGCCGAGCATGTGCAGTCCTGCAGATTCACATACAAACACGTACAGAGGTGTACGCCTTAGGTTCAACGTGTGGTTGCTGTATCATCATTTTTAAAGACAGGTCTTTTTCATGAAAAAGTTGAAGTATTATTGGATTCTTTGAGGAAACTGGCATTACCAAGAATATTTTATTGTCATGAGAATCAGTTTTAGGTGCCAACACAACGATTTGAATTCCAGCTATTCTATTTAGCTGTTTAACACCAGAAGCAACCCAGTCCCTCTAATCATCAGTGTCTTAAACTGTTCAATGAGAATAATACCTATTTCAGGTAATGAAGATTAAATTATCAGATAATAGCCATTAAGCACTTGGCGTAATATCTGGGACAGAATAAGTAGATGCATTATAATAAAGCTGTAATTATATTTTTCTTTACACCTTTTCATTATTGTCTCCTTTTTCACTTTAAATAAAACCTGTGTGTGTGTGTGTATGTGTGTGTGTGTGTGTGTGTGTGTATTTAGGTCCTTGTTGCTATTTAGAAAATAATGACCCATAATCTATTTGCAAACTTGCTTTCTTGCTATTTGCTTCAAGTAGGATTACGTATAAATTGAATTTAAGACATATTTTTTGGTTGGGTCACTCAAATACATTATGACAAGACTTGAGAATGTTTTAAGTTTTGAAGGTTAATAGAAATAATTTTAGAATTATTTTTAAAAATAAATATTAGGTATGTATATTTGGATAGCTTATTGCCAGCTTTAGTAAAAGGAACTTATTGTCCACTGTGAATCTTGAATAGCTTTCAGAAATAAAATGATTATTTTCTTTTCACTGTGTGTTTGAAACCTGCATTAAAATCCGAAATTAAATATCTTATAAATAATATCTCTTAACTGGTAAAACGACAGTGATACTCGTCGCCGCTTTAACATTGACGATGAGCCTCCATTTGTTAAAAACACCGTCCAAATGTCTTGACGTCCTTGACAAGAGAACCAAGTAAAAGGGCAACATCGGCCGATGCTTGAGCATAAAACTGAGCTTTCTCTTCATAAATTTCAGATTTGTCTTGTTTCTTAAGACTACTGTGCATTCATCCCGAATTCTTCTGTAGACCAAAGAGGCCCACATACATGAAGGCTGATAAGATTTTGTGAAATTTTAAATTTTGTCATGTGGTGCAAATATAAAGGTGTCTTTGTCTGTTATTAACTCAACTGGGTATCTTAAAATGCTTATTTCTTTTAGGAATCACAGTGCATTGATCACAAGTGTAGTCCCTGGGGATTATGATGGGGATTCACAAATGGATGTTCTTCTGACCTACCTTCCCCAAAATCATGCCAGCGGCGAGTTAGGAGCTGTTATCTTCTGGGGACAAAATCAAACATTAGGTGAATATTTTTTAGGACTTTTTCATATTTATCACTGGATGTTAATAGAAAAATATGCCCGTATTCTGATGTGACTGCAAAAAAGTATTGTTCTGGATTCATTTCAGAAATGCAGTCCTTGAGTGTCTGTAATGGTCTATAAAAGCTTTGCTGAAAGTCCATTTTCTGATTTTTCATTTTCAACCCAGAACCGGTCTGGGGTCAATTCCAGAGAACAATTCACTGTGGCTCGCTTAAGGAAGAGCGAGGTTTATTAAAGGGTTTTGATGGCTTGCCAAATTATTGGGAGAGCTGAAGAACAGACTCTAGGTGGAACTTTCTGGAACAATTCCCAAAGCCTTCCAGGAAGCTACTGCCTTGTTACTATCAGGAAGTGGCCCCGTTGCACAACCACAGCCAGAATGCCACTGCACCTGCTGTGATTCTCTCCAGCAAGCTGGGTGCCCTGCACCCTGCCTCTCACCACAGATTCAGCGATCAGACACTGAGACAGATGGGGCAGAAGCTCAGCTTCCTCACAGGCCCGCCTTCCGAAACGCAGTGTGTCTGTCTGATCGGCAACACTGTGTTTCATTCAGAATCTCAGGTGGAAGAATATTTGAGAAGGCTATTTTTGATTCATACTCTCCCCAGTACAGGAAAGCACAAAGGTGGAGTAGAGATTGAGTCTCGGTCTACCACATCCACCCACGAACCCCCAAGGCTTATCTGAAAAGCCAGTGGCTTATACCTAAAAGGACAACTTTGTCTTAGGGGCCAGATTTCAGGGTGGGGATGGAGTGGGGGTGTAGCTGTGTTTTCTGTGACATTTGGGAATACTTGCTCAATGAGCATCTGAAGAAGGAGCTTCTGCTTGTGTGCAAATAAGTCCAGTAATTTCACGTATATTGGCTTCTCTGCCCTGAAACCTTAATCGTCAACTGTCTGGTGCCAAATTGTATATAAGGAAGACTCACCTTAGTGGTTTTAACATCGAAGCCTCAAACGGAAGTTATGTAGTGCTGGTCTTTACTGGAGAATGAATTCTCCCAATAATTTGTCTTCACAAACTTCACGTCCATTTAAGTTGGATTCGTAGTGTCTCGTTAATGGTAATAGTTGGAATTAATTAGAGATTAATCTAAGATTAAAAGCATATTTTTCCCTAAGTGTACATATCAAAAGTAATATAAAATACCTGATAACTTATAGCTTTTCTTTCTTCACAGATCCTAACAATATGACTATGCTCAATAGGACTTTTCAGGATGAACCACTAATTATGGAGTAAGTATCTGCTCGCTTCCCTTTGACTGATCTTAAACTTACGAACATAAAATGAAACTTTTCACGTAAGAAACCACTTTGCTTAGTAGTATTGACACTAAATTCACTTTCCCTTTAAAGCTGATAGGAGCCTGTACTCCAGATTATATGATATTTATTTGCCACGATGGATGAAAGAAAAAAATGAAATTCAGCATTTTGGAAAGAGGGAGAGATTTGTGATTTGTTTTTGTTCAGTACCTTTGAACGTGTCTGTTATGGATCTGTGTCGATGCTAGCCATGTCATTACTCAAAGAATTCAGATAACTTAATTGTTTTTGGATCAAACTATTAGTGCTTAATTGGCAGATATCAAGGGTCCAAGGTTTCCTCCAGTTATGTAGATTCTATATTAAGGAGAAACTTTGGGCCATTTTTATAGCACTTAATGTTCATTTGTTTCCTCAAAATAGACTCGTAGCAGGATAAATTTAATCCAGAGTTCAGGATTTTTGATTATATGGTAGAGATCATTTTGGAGACTAAAGCAATGAATGTATGACCACATTCTCAGCCAAAGCTGCCTCTCCTGCAATTATTAAAACCCGTCATAATATGAATAGGTCAGTGGCCATTGGAAGTCTAAACTGTCAATCCATGGATTAATCTTAAAGTCACTTAGCTTGATTTCTTTCACAGTTGTATGTTTTTTCATTGTCGCGACATTCAGTGGCCACTTTGAATTTTTATACCAGCTAGGGATTACTTCTGTGGGTTATTTCTCCTAAGTCCACCTAACTAAACAAGTTGGAACCTGATTCTGAAATGAGTGATGTCTCCTTATCACTCAGGGACAGGCTAGATCATGCAGAGGTTACCGACAACCCCAGAGTTTGACAACCAAAGTTTATTTCTTGCTCACGCTACATGTCCGTGTGGGTCAGTTGCGGGCTGTGCCCCACATCGTCCCTCTGTGGGTCACGCTGTCAGAGGCCTCATCCTCTGGGGAGCTGAATCATCTGAAACACGTGTTCTTGTCTTTGCCATGGCAAGCTTAAAGAGGGCTGGAGGGCCCCCTTACAAAACGTAAACGCTTGGGCCCAGAAATGACCCATGTCACTTCTGCTGACGTTTCATTGACAACAACAGATACCGATGAGTATTGTAATGCCTGCCACACCTCCCCAGGGTTATTTTTCTTCTAAAGCTAAGTTAGAGAGTTTAATAAAAGAGCTGCTTAATGTTTGTAATGTTTTCTTTTCAGCTTCAATGGCGATTTAATTCCTGATGTATTCGGTATCACAAATGAATCCAGCCAGCCACAGATACTATTAGGAGGGTGAGTAAACATGATCGGAACCACGTAATTATTCTGCTGTCTCTGCTGCAGGGACTGTGTCTGTGTGAACTGATCGCTTCAACCGCTGGGGAAGAACCCAACTCATTGCAAATCCATGTTCTTAAAAGGGTTTTGAACAGGCATTTGGTCAACTTACAAGCTTCCCCAAACAGTTTGGATCTGCAGGTGCTTTCTGTGGAGGGCCAGAATCTCTTTATCCCTCTGGAGATTAGAGTTGCAGACTTTACAGGTCCTCGTTTAAATATTGGTTTATTAGGTGTTTTTGGAATGGAAAAACTAATTGAAATAGGATGAATAGCACAGTCTTGATTGGATTCGCCACCTTAGCTGTGTCGGCTCCCAGACTTGATGATAAGCTTTGATCTTTTTTTCTTTTATTTGTTCATGAGCAATTGCTAATTGCCTGTAAATGTAAACATTCTTTCTCTAAGCTCTGGAAACTTTTCCGTATGCTTCATCCTTGACCAGCATGTGTGCTAGGACTCTCACTATTCTATTCAGGCACGCCCTTCATTCTTAAGATATAAACCACCTGGAATCTTGCAATTCAAAGACCTCCTCCATTTTAATTCCTCTAGACTTAGAATAGAAGTGGCCTCCTAACAAGAATTCATGATAGCAAGACACTTTTCAAGATGCCTGCAACTTGGTTAATTTCTTTTGTATCTGATAAGGCAAAAATTTAGTTCAAGAATACAGAACACATTTATTTACTTTTTTGAATTTCCAACAAGTGCAGACAAGCATCTTTGTCAGTTTGTCTTCCCCAAGTACTTGGAAACCTAATGAATTTATCTCTTGTGATTTGGAAAAGTAGTGTATTTTTATGATTAGTTTTTGAAATGTGATTTATAGGCACACAAGTGAGTAAATTGTCAAAATTTAAAGTATTATGAGGAGAAACTCATATTTCCTCTCTCTTTCTGAAGATGTTCAATAAAGAATATGGGTGTTTTGATGTTATTCATAGTGACTTTTGAAAGACTTATTGTGAATCCTGAGTGAGAAACCTGTTTTTCCCCAAACTTCAAAAAATATTTGGAAGAGAACCCTGCCTTAGAGACCAAGTGGCTGGAGACTCTGCTTTGCCTTGTGTAGGAGGAGCTGGGTGTATGTCGGGGTGAGTGGGACGTACAGGCCACTCCTCCCAGGGCAAGCTGGGCTCCTTTGCCTTGGGCAGGGACCACCCAGGAAGCCGGTCCTGTCCTTATCCTCAAAGACAGACCTGTGATTGAGAATGTCATGTTGACTTCCTGCCTGGTTTGTTTCCTGGTAACCTCCATTTTAGTCAGAGAAATACATGAATATCTTTCATATGATACAGTTTGACCTTTAGAAATTGTAACTTGTGAAACAGCTATTGTTGATAACTCAAAAAGTAAAATTTCTAATATCTTTGTGGGTTTTTCTACTTAATCTATAAGAAACCTATTTAGAATATCATGTGATAGTGTTGTAGTTTATTTACTTGTTCTGAATTCTGTATTAGATTTTTTTCCTCTGATGACGCTTGCAAAACTAGCTTTTACAACTTACTCTGTCTAAAGACATGGTCACTTTTTTATGCATTATACTCTGCTATACTTCGGCATACTGGAGTAATACTCTGGTATTTTATGATATTTTTTATTTAAACTTCAGTAACGGTTTAAACAATAGTAGCTAACAGTATGGTAACAAGTTTTTATCCAAGACTTGTCCTGATGCCAAGTTAATGGAGATATATAAATTGGCAGAAGCCTTGTTAGGGTGACTGTAGCCGGCAATGTCATGATTCAGACCCCGGAAAGCTGAGTGTGCCCCCACGAGAGCAAGCATCGATGTATTACTAAGACAAAAACGTGCTTAGTCATGTCAGTGTCATGCGTCACAGACGTGCGTAGGCGCAGAAGGGGAAAAGCCAGCAGCATTGACGTGTTGGACTGCTCACCCTGCCTCCGTTTGGTCACCCCATCTTACCTCGCGAGAAATCTACCCGGCCTTAGAGCGCTAAGTGCCCCATGGGACTGTGCCGGGAAGCCCCTGGCTGTCTCTGGGCCAGCGCAGGCATGGAGATAGGTGCTCGCCCACGGCTTAGGCTGGCGTGGCCGTTTGGCTGCAGTGGCGGCGCAGCGGTCAGTCGCAGCAGGCAGTGGTCACAGGCAGAAGACTCCCTCGTAAGTGGTACAGTGGGATACCGACAGGGACAGGAAGGATGCCAGATCTCCCGCGGAGCAAGAGATAATTACAGTGTGTTAGATGGTCAAAGGTAGACTTCAGTTTGTGCCTCAACCTCAGTTTATAATGGCTTGAAGTAAAGTAATAACGTGGCATGTTCCTTAGAAGTAGCACCTCGCTATTAAGGGTTAGACCTGTTCTTGCAGGCCGTGAAGTCACCGTTGATGAGCGTTTCCTGTAAAAGGGTTTTGGAAGCTGATGCTGCTTAAGCTCTCAGAGTATTGTTTTTAGTACTGAAGTAACCTGTACCTGTAAATTTCATCAAAGCCAAATGTAATTTTGGTCGGTTCACATTTTCTGTGACTCCTGTGCTGAGGTCAGACACACTCTGGGTCAGGTCCATGCTGTATACCAGGGGATGCTACCGTAGGTGTGTGACAGGTAAATACCTCACCGTACTCTGTTTACTCCACAAGTGATGGCCCAAAAGCTCTGAATGGAATATTAATGGCGTCGAAAGCAGCCATTTTTAACTGTTATGTGGGTGGGTTTTTTTCCTCTATTATCAAAAAAAAAAAATCCCCTATTTTTTTATTTATAGTTAGCTGCTCTCAATCCAGAGGAATAAATCCTGTTTTTCCAAGTAACCTTTCATCTTTCCTCACATCGTAACCAACAACTGATTTATTAAAGCACCCTTCATTTTTATTGCTGATTTTGTTTGTTTACTGATGCATTTCAGAAAATATTGCAGATATTTATCTTAATGGAATAATAATTTGATATTGTGTCACTTAACTCTATGATTCAGAAAGAATATGAAAATTATGCTGAGGTTATAACACAAAAGAAACCAAAAATCCTCAAGGCAGCTTTTAACTTTGTATCAGCATTAATATTCATAATCTTAACCAAAATCGGTGGCTTTGAGATGATTCAGATTTTCTTAGAATTCCCTGAGCAGCCCCCTCCCCAATTCCCCTCATACACCATTTATACTTTGAACACTATTGTTTAAAAGAATGTATTAGAACTTGAGAAATAAGGTTTTTAGTGGTATTTCCATAGAAACACTGCATCCATTTTTTAACTTTTATTTTTTCCTAAAGAAATTTTGTTATTGGAAAATAATTTATTCTCCCATTGTTTTTCACCTAATTTTTTTTTCAAAATTAAGCCACAGAAATAGTGAAAAGTTAGAATAAATTACTTAGAATTGTATATGCTGTGGTTATTTCAAGTGGTATGTTACTTAAGCATCCTTATTTTTATTTCCTGGAGCCCCCCCAGAAGCTTTTGGATAGTCAATTAAATGACTTATGAGTCCCTGGTGATTTATCATACAGCCTTGTTTTAGGTTCTGGTTGGCAGTGTTGTATATAAATGAACTTTTGTTTGTTTCTAAGTGAATGATTTAAGAATTCTCAAAATTTATTCACTTTGCTTTTAGTTAAATCTTATAATTTTTTTTGTGTATTCTTTGAAGTAATCATTCAGAAAGATATCTTCTTGAGAAAAAGCACAGTTTTATAGTTTCTGTGCAAAGAAATTCGATAGTAGCATTTTATCATGAATATCAATATTTAAGTGTCTCGATTCAGCATATTTCTCTTAGCATATATCATAGTTTTCTTTGAGGAGAAATCGTTTTGTTTTATCTCATTACTATTTGGATTTGTGTTGAAAAAGCCCATTTTAAAACATGCTAGAATACCCCTGCACTATACACTTAAAAACGGTTAAGATGGTAAATGTTTTGTTATCTATATTTTAGCACAATGAAAAAAATTGGAAAAAGAAAATCAAGCAAGCAGTGTATACCCCAGACTTCGAGTAAGATTAGACTATGTTACCATTTCAGTTTAGAGTAAAATGCATCAGAACAGTTTATAATTTCCGAATATACAGGTTAAGTCATCTTTCGTTAGGTTCCTGTTGCAATTTTTTAAAGATACCCACGCTGTCAACAACGCCCCCACGAACTTGACTTTTAACAACCTAGAGGTCCGGTCCGGCCCGGTCCGGCCGGGTCCGCCCTGCGTGGCGGTGCGGGTTTG